AGAAATAAAGATAATGACAAATGGAACTGGCAATTGCTTTGTGAGAAACAGTTTATTTCCTAAGACAAGGGCTTCTTGGCTCATAAATCCAGAGGAAATTAACAAGAGTAATGGACCTTCTGCCTAGAAACACACTCTTTAGTATAACATTTCTGGGGCTTTCTAAAACCTTCTGTTATCTCCTGGCTGAACAGCCTAGCGGATAAACAGAGGAAATGAGAAGTCAGGAGATATGATCACCGCTGGAAGATCTGAGGGGAGGGGCCCGTGGGCTGCTGGGGCCAATGATACACCTTTTCCAGTTCTGGTGCCGGTGACTTAGGCGTGCCCTTTGCAAAAAAGTCATGGATGGAGCTTAACACTTTTGTGCACCATTTGTGCACTATATATATATATATACACACACACACCCACACACACACACACACACTTTTTTTTTTTTTTTGAGACGGAGTCTCGCTCTGGCCCCCAGGCTGGAGTGCAGTGGCGCCATCTCGGCTCACTGCAAGCTCCGCCTCCCGGGTTCACGCCATTCTCCTGCCTCAGCCTCCAGAGTAGCTGGTACTACAGGCGCCCACCACCACACCCGGCTAATTTCTTTTGTACTTTTAGTAGAGACGGGGTTTAACCGTGTTAGCCAGGATGGTCTCGATCTCCTGACCTTGTGATCCACCCGCTTTGGCCTCTCAAAGTGCTGGGATTACAGGCGTGAGCCACCAAGCCTGACTTTTTTTTTTTTTTTTTTTTGTGAGACGGAGTCTCACTCTGTCACTCAGGCTGGAGTGCAGTAGCGCGTTCTCAGCTCGCTGCAACCTCCGGCTGGGGTCAAGCGATTCTCCTGCCTCAGCCTCCGGAGTAGCTGTCACCATGCCTGGCTAATTTTTTTGTATTTTTAGCAGAAGTGGGATTTCACCATCTTGGCCAGGCTGGTCTTGAATTTCTGACCTCAGGTGATCCACCCGCCTCAGCCTCCCAAAGTGCTGGGATTACACGCGTGATCCACTGTGCCCAGCCAAAATATATTCATTTTATACCTCAAGAAAAAATAACTGTTAAAAAAAATTAAGATCAAACATATTGGAAAAAGATTTGGTAGGAGATGCTCCAAACTGTCGACAACGGTATCCCTACCAAGTGGGATTATGGCACCCTGCAAGGACACCAAACACTGCTGTATTGTTTGAATTTTGAGTATTTTTTTTTTTTAGATGGAGTTTCTCTCTTGTTGCCCAGGCTGGAGTGCAATGGTGTGATCTCAGCTCACCACAACCTCCGCCTTCCAGGTTCAAGTGATTCTCCTGCCTCCTCCCGAGTACCTGGGATTACAGGCATGTGCCACCATGCCTGGCTAATTTTGTATTTTTAGTAGAGACAGGGTTTCACCATGTTGGGCAGGCTGGTCTCCAACTCCTGACCTCAGGTGATCCACCCGCCTTGGCCTCCCAAAGTGCTGGGATTACAGGTGTGAACCACCGTGCTCAGCCCGAATTTTGACTTTTTTATTGAGATGGAGTCTCCCTGTTGCCCAGGCTGGAGTGCAGTGGCACAGTCTCGGCTCACTGCAACCTATGCCTCCCAGGTCCAAGCGTTTCTTGTGCCTGAGCCTCCTGAGTAGCTGGGATTACAGGCGTGTGCAACTGCACCTGGCTAATTTTTTTATTTTTAGTAGAGGCGGGGTTTCACCATGTTGGTCAGGCTTGTCTCAAACTTCTGACCTCAGGTGATGCCCACCTTGACCTCCCAACGTGCTGGGATTACAGGGGTGAGCCACTGTGCCTGGCTGGATTTTGACTTTTATAATAAATCGCTGTAAATTATTTGGCATTAGAACACAAAAGTCACTTAAGAGCCATTTTTTAGGCCAGGCATAGTAGCTCATGCCCGCAATCCCAGGACATTGGGAGGCTGAAGGGGGCAGATTGCTTGAGCCCAGGAGTTTGAGGCCAGCCTGGGCGCGATAGAGAGACCTCGTCTATACAAAAAATAAAAAAAATTAGCCAGGCATGATGGCACGCACTTGTAGTCCCAGCCACTCTGGAGGCTGAGGTGGGAGGATTGCTTGAGTCCCGGAGGTCCCGGAGGTTGAGGCTGCAGTGAGCTATGATCACACCACTGCACTCTACCCTGGTAGGCAACAGAGTGAGAACCTGTCTAAAATAAATAAATAAATAAATAAATAAATAAATAAATAAAAAGATCTTTTTTTTCTGAGGTGTTCACAATAGGTGTTCAACAAAATTTTGTACGCTGGCAATATTCAGTATCTGCAAGTCAGTACAGTAGCCACCAACCACGTAAAGCTGTTGAGAACTAATTATAATTCATTGACTTTATTTATTTTTGAGTTGGAGCCTCACGCTGTCGCCCATGCTGGGGTACAGTGCTGTAATCTTGGCTCACTGCAACCTCTGTCTTCCAAGTTTAAGTGATTCTTATGCTTCAACTTCCCCAGTAGCTGGGATTACAGGCGTGCACCACCATGCCCAGCTAATTTTTTTGTATTTTTAGTAGAGATGTAGTTTCACCATGTTGGCCAGGCTGGTCTTGAACACAAACGATCCACCTGCCTCAGCCTCTCAAAGTGTTGGGATTATAGGCGTGAGCCACCACGCCCGGCATAATTCATTTACTTAAAAAAAATTTTTTTTAGAGACAAAGTCTCACTCTGTCACCAAGGCTGGAGAGCAGTGGGGTAATCACAGCTCACTGCAGCCTCGAACTCCTGGCCTCGAGTGATCTTCCCACCTGCCTCAGCCTCCTGAGTAGCTGGGACTACAGGCACAAGCCTGCTAATTATTATTTATTTATTTATGTATGTATGTATTTATTTATAGATGGAGTCTTGCTCTGTTGCCCAGGCTGGAGTGCAGTGGCGCAATCTCAGCTCACTGCAACCCCTGCCTCCTCGGTTCAAGTGATTCTCTGGCCTCAGCCTCCTGACTAGCTGGGACTACAGATGCCGGCCACTATGCCCAGCTAATTTTTTTGTATTTTTAGTAGAGACAGGGTTTCACGATGTTGCCCAGGCTGGTCTTGAACTCCTGACCTCAGGTGATCCACCTGCCTCAGCCTCCCAAAGTGCTGGAATTACAGGCATGAGCCACCACGGCCAGTCTCATTTAACTTTAAATGAAAATAGCCACATATAGCTAGTGGCTATGCTATTGTTGGGTGCTGGTCTAGGACAGAGCATGAAGGTGTTTACTGTGATATTCTTCAACTGTTCTGTAGCTTTAAACACTTTCCAAAATAAGTCCATTTTGAAAAAGAGATTTGCAGCAGCTCATGTGTATAATCCCAGCACTTTGGGAGGCCGAGGCGGGAGGGTAGCAGGAGACCGGAAGTTCGAGACTGGCTTGGGCAACATAGCAAAACCCCATTTCTACAAAAAATTTATAAATTAGGCCGGGTGCGGTGGCTCACACCTATAATCCCAGCACTTTGGGAGGCCGAGGCGGATGGATCACTTGAGGTCAGGAGTTCAAGACCGGCCTGGCCAACATGGTGAAAACCCATCTCTACTAAAAATACAAAAATTAGCTGGGTGTGGTGGTGGGTGCTTCTAATCCAAGCTACTCAGGAGGCTGAGGCAGGATAATTGCTTTAGTCCACAAGGCGCACGAGGCGGAGGTTTCAGTGAGCCAAGATCGCACCACTGCACTCCAGCCTGGGCGACAGAGGGAGACTCCGTCTCAACAACAAGAAGTCAGGGGTGGTGGCGCAAGCCTGTGGTCCCAGCTAGTCAGAAGGTTGAGGTGGGAGGATCGCTTGAGTGCTGGAGGTAGAGACTGCAGTGGGCTAGGATTTGTACCACTGTACTCCAACCTGGGAGACGGAGTGAGACTCTCTCTCCAAAAACAACAAAAAGCGGTGGTTCGCGCCTGTAATCCCAGCACTCTGGGAGGCTGAGGCGGGTGGATCACCTGAGGTCAGGAGTTCGAGACTAGCCTGACCAACACGGTGAAACCCCGTCTCTAC